TAATTTTATCAAGATATTTCCAGTTTTCAAGCATATGTTCTTCTTCGCACCAAATATAACGCTGTGTTAGCCTCGTTCCCAATCCGCCCGCAAGCTTTGTCCAGCGGTCTTCCAAACGAACCCCAAGAACTCGAAAAGGGAGTATTCGTGGACGAACATGCAGTGCACAAGAGAATATGTTGCGCAACCTTGATTACTTTGTTTAAAGTGACTCTAGAGTTAGGACTCGGAGACAATAGCAAACAAAAGAGTTATGTAACGATTTTTCACTGTTTTGTTTTATTAAAAAAGTACAGCGTAGCTAGTGTGCAAACCTCATTGAGTTAGGTATAACTCATCATGGATGATGGCGAAGAAATTTTCATCACACAAAATACCTTCCGTCCTCCCACTTTACCAGAATTTGAGTTTGACGTGGYTGAGTTTTTTGACTTTCTTGAAGATGAAAAAAGCCAGGAAAAAGTTCAGGAGAGCAGAGAAATTAGCATCGTATCAGATAAAGACTTGAAGGAACGCACTGAAGAACGAATACCGACCAACACTAAAATCAATACAAGATGGGTGGTAACAACTTGGAAGGAATGGGCTGAGTCAAGGAACTCACAGATTTCTACTTTCACGAGTGATAAGTTTAAAGAAGTCAACACCGACATCCTTGGTATAACAGAAGACGAAGAGTTGAGCTATTGGTTAAGTAAATTCGTAATGGAAGTTAGAAAGAAACGACCACCTGGTGAAGTTTACACTCCAAACACCCTTCACCAAATGTGTTGTGGACTCCAAAGGCACATAAGAGAGAATGGGAACCCAGGTATTAACCTGTATGAAAATCCAAAATTCAAGCAGTTCCAAGACAGCATTGACGCCAAAATGAAAAGATGAACTAACCTCGGTATTGGGTCTGGAGTAAAGCAAGCCCAAGCGTTTAGCAGCGAGCAGGAAGAAATACTATGGGAGAAGGGACTTTTAGGGGACGACTCACCAAAAGTTTTGCTCGATACATTACTTTTTGTGGTCTTATGTTCTGGCTTATTTTGAGCTTTTACAACTTCATTGAGTTTTTCTTCGAATATGATCCTTTTTGGGCTATCTTTAAATTGTGGTGAATACTTATCGAGTATTTATAAGCTGGATTGATGCCGTCGGCATTGAAAACAACTCGAGCGGGAAAGTCAAGTGCTAAGACGCGAGCGCGGACAAAAAGGCGGGAGTAGTTTAAAATGAACCATCTTTCAGATCATTAAAAACTGGATTTTGTTTGAATTTTCTTATTGTAAAGAAAGTCTCAAATCTGATAAACAAAGTTGTCTTGATTCCCTCGATCCAACTTACTGCGCGACCATCAAATTAGCAATTTCCGGTCCGGATACGGAAAAAGGCGGACCCGTGGTCTGGATACGCGATTTCACGGACCAGTTTTCACCCAATGAGAGCGCGCGTACTATCTAACTAAGTCATATAATATAATGGGGCTATTTACCCTGGTCCTAGAGGTTTGACATTTTTTCTCTTCACTATTGTTTTTGTCGACGCGAAAATTATACGAAACTTACCTGGAAGTTGAAGTTTGATTGGGATTCTTCCGAGTCATCAGTAGCACAAGAAGTCATGCCCAGACCGAGAAGACTAATCCCCTCCTTGATTCTAGTGCTACAGTTCTGATGGTACACTCAAGGCTTTTAAGACTGATCTCTCGGGCGGCTAGTGCTTTCTCACGTGACTTCTTGTGCTACTGATGACTCGACAACAACTTCTTATGGAAGTGGAGACCTTTGGAGAGTAATTCTAGACATGCAAAAGTCCATTAACGCCATGTCAAAGTCGGTCAACGACCTCAAAAGTTGGCAACCTGCCACTCCATTGAGCACCGCTCAACCTCAAAACTCATTGAAAAGGACGTCAACAGACGTGAATAACAATGAACAGCACTCTAAAAAGGGAAAATCCTCCACCGGGGAACATGAATCAGATTAAAATGACGCTCAAGACAGTGATTCAGATGTGAATGAACTCGTAAGCAGTGACAAAGGCGCCGAAGGTGACGAGCTACTCGGAGAAATTGAGAAGGAGCTTGACTCGACCAATAAAACTGGGCCAGACGTTCATAAAAACCTAGCTAACATTGTGAAGAAGAGATTCTCGGCAAAATTAGAAGATAGCAAGCTTAAAGAGACCCTACAGCTCTATTCTAGGCCGGGAAACTGCAATAAGCTGAAAGCCCGGGAGATCCACCCCGAGATCTGGGGAAAATTAAAAACATCGCAGAAATCCCGCCACCTTCGCATGGTAAATGTTCAAAAAACGATCATAAAAGCCACTGTCGATATGACTGAGGTGGCTAAAAGACAATGTTATAGCTGATTATGATTCCCGAAAACAATCTGATATGAGCAAAGAATGGATGTTAGATCCTAATTTACCAAAACAGGCACTTACAATACTCAATATATCCCCAGATATGGACTTGTTTACATCCAGATTAGACAAGCAGTTCTCAGAATTTGCAACCTATAGATCAGAACCTGGGACATCAGCAGTTGATGCTTTTACTCTTAATTGATGAAATATTAACTTATATGCCTTCCCACCTTTCACTTTCCACTGTACTACAGAAACTACAGGAGGCCAAAGCAACTGGAGCGATAGTCATACCAAACTGGTCCACTCAAGTATGGTTCTCCAAAGGAATGCGGATTCTAATTCAACACCCAGTTCTACTTCAGAAATCCAAACACTTATTTAAGCTGCAAAGCAAACTCTCACATGTACATCCTCTGAGCCACAAGCTCAATCTACTAGTATACCACTTATCTGGCGACAATTGCAAGATAAAGGACTTTCACAAGAAGCTTCCAGACATCATCTTATCATCATGGACAAGTGGACAAAGTACTGCCATTCCAGTAGTTCAAGGAATAATTTTTCTAGCAGAACTTATGGCTACAAATATTGGTTATAGTAGTATTAATACTGCTCGTTCAGCTTTATCTTCTATTGTTCTATGTTAACAGTTAATGATTGTACCACATACCCAAACGATTTGTCCGAGTTAAAATAACTGGGACCGAGAAGACTTATGACGTCACAGCAAGAACGAATGTTGATCAACATAGCAATTTAGCTGTAAACATTACTAAAATGCCTACACTTTGTGTGGTTGCCGGATGCTCAAATACACCTAATTCATCAAAAGGAATATTCCTTCATAAAATACTGTTCTTTGGTGACAATCGTCCTGAAGCAAAGTCAGAAGAAAGCAGTGGATCGACTTTATAAAGAAGAAACGGTCGAGCTTCACTCCTTCGTTCTACTTCGTCGTATGTTCAGACTTCATTTAGCTACTTTTCGCCTGAAGATTTATATTGTCAACAACGCTTTGATTTTGTGAAACTGACGTCCTCAGTTTATAAAAGATGGCATAGATGACGTAGGGACTGTTGATTTACCTGTTGATAGCGATATCCTGTAAATTTTTGCAATTTCCTCGAAAACTTTAGATAGGTATATCTCAAAGAATATTTATCTAATGGAATTTTTTTTTCGATTCGTTCACCTACTATATAAAGACAATCAAAATAACCTATAATCCTCAAAGGGTTTATAGGGACTTTAATTTAGGCCAAGTAAAAAGAACAAATCAATAAATACAACTCACGAAAACTTCAAAAAAGGAAAAGTTTCCAAAATTCCCTCTCCAGTGCCTGAAAATAAAACTGTCAAAGTACCCTTCTCATCTCCAGAGTCGTCAAGGTCTTCTGACTTACCATATCCAGTGTCACCTTCGTCTGATGATGCCAGTTCCATTCCGAGTTGTTGCTTCCAAGTTGTCGCTAGGCTTCAGGCTCCCGCGGACGCGACAACTTGGAAATTTCCGAGTTGTCGCTTCCAAGTTGTCGCTTCCCAGTTGTCGCTTCCAAGTTGTCGGTAGGCTTCAGGCTCCCGCGGACTCGACAACTTGGAAATTTCCGAGTTGTCGCTTCCCAGTTGTCGCTTCTGTAATGATATTAACTATATGCATGTACAGTAATGACGTCACAGTCATGTGCTTACAATAAAGTGTGCTTTGTATGAACCCAAGTATGGCGTGCGTGTTAGTACATGGTGTCAGAACAAAACTCTAAAATTAGAGGATATGGAGCACCTGAAACCTCCCTCTGCTTTGAGATTAAGCGAGGAGAGAGACAAGTCCGAGTGCTGGAGACAGTGGAAGCGCTCGTGGGACCTTTACAAGGTTGCTAGTGGACTTGAAGAAAAGTCCGAGAAGATACAAGTCGCGACACTCTTGCACGTGTTAGGCAAAGAACGTCAAGAAATCTTTTCTCAGTTCACGTGGGAGAAGGAAGAGGACTCTGATGAAATTTCAGCAGTCGAAGAGAAGTTCAAAGCTTATTTTGAGCCACTTTGTTCAAAGAATTTCAATCGTCATTTGTTTATCGAAAGAAATCAAAGAGACGGCGAGTCAGTTGACGAATACTGCGGAGCTCTCAAAGCCCTAGCAAAAAGTTGTGATCTTGGCGACAGAGGAGAATCATGGATAACTACAAAGTTAGTCTTAGGCCTCAGAGACATAAAACTAAAAGAGCGATTGATGGAAAGCGACAAAAGCCTCGAAGATACGCTAAAAGCAGCAAGAATCGTGGAAACGAGTAGACAACATTTGCAGTCTATTACCAGTAATGGCGCCAAAGCGGCGGACTCTGTTGAAGCTGTCGAGTCAGTTGGACGGCGTTATGCAAAAGGACAGCGAAATAAAGCTTCCAACAGCCAAAACAAAGAGAGAGAGACATCTCGAAAAGCTTGTACGAAGTGTGGAACAGTTCATATTCCAAAGCGATGTCCAGCGTATGGCAAGCAGTGCCATAAATGCAAAGTGTTAAACCATTTTGCGAAGTTTTGTCCTAAGAAGAAAAAAGATTCATCTAATATTAACTGTGTCAACGAGCATGATGATGATGTTGTAGAAGATTTAAGTTCAGATGAGAGTTTTCACATTGGATCTCTTGAAGTCGGAGAGAAGGACTGGGTCGAGACAGTCAATTTCGGAAATCTACAAGTAAATCTAAAGTTAGACAGCGGAGCTCAATGCAACGTTATAACAAAGAAAATTTATGACAAGATTACTACTAAGCCATTGGAACAAACGAAAGTTAAGCTCGAGAGTTACACCAAAACATTCATTAAGCCCCTGGGACAGTGCACATTAATTGGAGTAAATAGAGGAAACAAACACAGCCTGTCTTTCCAAGTTGTTGATGGAAACTACACACCTATCTTAGGAAGAGCAAGCTGTGAAGAAATGGGACTAATTCAGCGTGTGAACTGTGTGAACACTGAAGCACTCATGAAGGATTACTCAGATGTTTATTCTGGTCTAGGATGTTTACCTGGAGAGTACCATATAACAATTGATCCTAGTATAACTCCTGTTGTACACCCTCCTCGCAGGATAGCTCATTCCAGACGTGA